ACGCACACATAACAACAACAACAACAATAACAATAACAACAACAACATTTGACGTTACAAGTTCAAACATTTAAAATATACATAAAATAAGTTGTTGATCAATCCAAATATATTAGAAAAAACACAACCATAATTTTACATCAATCCAAGTATATTAAAAAGAAACATAAATAATATCAAAGCAAAATATAGTTTTAGATTAATACAAACATATCAAGATCAAACCAAATCAAGGATTTTAAGACTTTGGAGTTTCAACTGCATCACTCTCACAATCACTTAGTACATAAAATTCACTATCAACTTCGTACTCGTCAAAAATAGTCTTTCTCGTCAAATTCGGTTTTTAACAGTTTAGTATAACCGTTTTAATCGGGTTTAGAGACCGACTAGTTCGATCCACAATGCATTTAACTCAATAGAGTTTAATATACTGTATCATCATCATTGTACATTCCATACATCTCTAAGACTTTTTTCTTACGCACCGAACTCCACAATGTTTAGTGAAACATTACAAAAGCTAATTTATAATATTTAAGAATTAAAAAACTTTTTCTTTTTTCTCATTAAAAAGTTCAATGTCCATTGAACTACAAATGAATTAAATGTCAACCTGACATCTCATAATGATAAAGTTTATCTATTGAATAATAATTAGACTTTTCACCTTCTTTAAGTCTCTCATTGAGAGTTTTTAACCATAAAGGGGTAGTTGAAAAAAATATTTATCATTTTAGTGCCCTTTCAAAAATATTTACCAAAATGGTATTTTTCTCATTTTCTTTACTTTTTAGTTTTCTTTTCAGTTTTTTTATTTAAATATCTTGTTTTCTCTTTTATTCACCTCTTTATTGTTTTTTACATATATATTTTTTAAATGACAACTTTTATTTTAGTTTTTTTTTTACCTTTTTTTACTGTTTTTTTTTAAATAACATTTTTTTTAATCTTTTTTTTCCTGTTTTTTTTAATATCTATTTTTCTTATACAACCTTTTTATCATCAAATTTTCGCCATCAAAAATTAAAAATACAATATATTTTAAGGTGGAAACACTCCAACGTTCACATACAATATTTTTAAGGTAAAAAAAAACAAACAAAACCTCAACATTGTTTGTTAAAAAAAACACCACAAAATAAACTCCAACATTGTTTAGTACAAAAAAAAAAAACATCACAATTAACTTGAATTTGAACCCGTAACAAATCCTTACCTTTAAAAAAAAAAGAAAAAGGAAATAACCACAACAAATATCATAAAAATATTTTTTTAAACTACCTTGGCATAGACGGGCATTGTTTTCGATTATGCCCCGGTTGCCTACAAATTCCACAAAGATTGAAATTTCTTCCTTTCTTTAATATCCATACCGAAAGCGATGTCCATCTATGCCAAGGTAGTTTAAAAAAATATTTTTATGGTATTTATTATGGTTATTTCCTCTTTTTATTATTATTATTATTATTATTATTATTATTATTATTATTACTACAAATTCCACAAAGATTGAAATTTGTTACCGTTGCAAATTCAAGCTAATTGTGATGT